AAAGCCTGTTCTGATGAACAGAGGCCCCGACACCACAGAAAAGCCAGCCGAGGCACCACAAACCCAAAGCCACAAACCTTAAACCTTATTCTACCCATAGGCCCTAAAGTAGTTCCTTTTTGGGGTTCACATATAGAATCCTATAAGGTAATCCCAAAAAGGAACTACTATGGGGCCTATGGGTATTCTAATCAACAGAGTCCATGACAGCAAAGCTAGCCGAGGCAGGATGTGGAAAATGGCCCAGCGTGGGTCGCAGCCTCAGGGAGCGGTGTACTTAAAGGATCATGGGACTTAGTAAGTAGGGTTATAATCAGGGTCACTATACTTATAACCCCAATTAAGGGACTTATAACCTTACTTACTAAGTCCCATGATCCTCCAAGTAGGTTCATTGATTGGGGTCGCGGGTGTTTCTTTGGGCTGTGTATGGGCCCCGTGCCTGATTGTATAAGAAGGGCAGTTTGGCTGTACGAATTATTCATTTGTGTAGATTTGTACTTCTGCTTTGTTGAGTTGTCTGAGGTGTCTTCGGTCTTTGGGGCTTCAATTTTTTGTGAACCCATGGCTTCAGGTTCGTGATATAGTGCTCTGGTTTCTCGATTAGGACTTGCCGGCACGATCCCTAAACCCTAAACCCTAAACCCTAGACTCGACTCCCGACAGAAGCTTTAGTACACTACTACGGCGAACTGTCATGCCCTAAAACCTACACCCGGTTTAGGGTTTAGGGTTTAGGGCTTAGGGTTTAGGGCGAAATCCTAATTCTCCTATACCGTGCTAGGTCACCTCATCCACTAGCCTTAAACCTCCCCCCACCCTCCCGAGCTCACCAGAAAAGCCTTCAGAGCCCGAACAGTCATGTTGAAGCGACCATAATGATCGGGTAATGTACTATAGTTTTAGTTGCCATAGCGATAGGCTTTCCTGCTAAGTATAGCTGAATTTCAACATTCGAGACATACATGCACGCATACATATTTATGTGTCTGTCTGCCTGTTTGTCTATCTATCTGACTACGTATCTATCTCTCCATCTGTCTGAGTCTCTCTCTCTCTCTCTATATATATATATGTGCATA